TAGCGCACAGGCGGGCAGTTATTCTCAATAAAGGAGCCATTAATTGTCATAGGTACACAGTAGAATAGTGACTTTATCCTACAAATGCTGCTATTCCCTGTGCATGAACTACCCGTTTCTGCTACTGCCTCTGATGAACTATCTGCGACGGATTTCGAAACGTCAGGTGACAAAAACTCTCGTTCCAACGACCACATCTTCTCCTCAATAAATAGGCACCCTTAGAGTATAATCTACGTTGAGTTCACACACGCTATCTCCCCCACCCGTCAAATTCGTCCTCGCGCCTGTCCAGCAAGGCGTCAAATACCCTTTCACTGCAGTCCTGCAGACAAAGCATAGACTGCCCTCTCTGCGGCATGGAGCACACTGAATGCTAGCAGTCCATCTGGTACATACAGTCTAAAACAGGGGAATACAGGAGCGTCCACGGAAGTGGAAAAGCCCACTGGAGACATATTACAAAAGAAACCACGAAGAGAGAGAGACATGGATAGAAGTGAGGCAACTGCCCTCTCAGGCTTGCTCATGCACTAATGGACCAGCAGCGTAAAAATGATAGCCTACCTTCAGTAGGGTCAAGATCTAATGAAGTGGCGGTAAGAGAACCATCCGGCTTTAAACGGTAACACAGCGAGGAGATGACACTAACCAGCCCCGTGTAAAAGTCTGCCAGGGGAGGTAGGTCCGAAAAAACCCAAGCTCGGTCCTGGCGGGTAGTAAAGTACTCATCACTAAGATTGGCTCTAAAAGAGTTAAAGGCAGGCGATAAGGTAAATTGAGACTAATTAAATGCCAGGCTTATGAAGCACCAGAGGCCATGGGAAACCTACCCGCTAACAATCACGGTGTCGTCAAATACGTAAGCTTTGATATGCTGCAGATTGACTGTCTCATTTATTCTTTCCGGTACCAGTCCACGAAACCAGCTGCGTAGCTTGTGACTGTGATAGAGGGACACTGTAACACCTGGCAGCCTGGCCAACCGATTGAGAAGTTGAAGGGAAGAGGCAGGGGCCTGGGTTTCCTCACTTGCCTCATTTCGGTGCACAGATCCAGCGTATCGTTTGGTGGTGGAGGCGGAGCGAGTGGAACGTGTGCATTCCACCAAAAAATGCACGGATAGTCCGTCTTTTGCACGTTCCTTGATAGCCGATTCCAAATCAGACACCTGTACAGGCAAAAACGACGAAGGGGTTGTAAACTTGCAGGCACTGTAAGGCTGCGAAGCTAATAAGTTATATCTGGCAATGCCTTAGCAATCGAGATTTAAAACAAAGATCACTGTGTGCGCCTTTGCCCAGACACTTGACATCACCAGGCCGTTCGTAGTCTAAATGAATATCAACAGAAGTGTATCTAAACTTTCTACTAACAAAAGTTAAGTAGGCAACTCTTATAAGATTAATTTATCATGAACTCGAGACGTTCGGCAGGTTCTACTTTTCACTTCTAGCGCTTTGAAGTCACTGCAGAAATCTAAATTTCGGCCTGGCTAGGTCATGACGATGGGCCTGGGGATATTGAGAAATATAGACAGATATAGGGCAAGTCTATCATAGTCTATAAGTTAATTCATGCGTAAATCACCATCCTTGCGCCTGCCCCTGCCCCCGTAGTGCGGAACGTGAGGAACTTCGTCGGAGAAGAGGGTTTAAATGTCGTTGTGCCGTACATTTCACACATGCCTCTGTCTGTTGTTTCAATTACCACGCCTGATCATAAACTCTTTAACCCTAAGCGACGGTGAGGATCAGCGCTGGATTTGGGTCGCAAGCATTTACAAAGGCCCTAAAATATTCAATAATATGCGGATCACATAACTTTGGGTGGAGAGAGCAAAAGCAAAAACAATAAAGGGTTTTATAAATTGGAAATTGGGACTTCAAGCAAAATCGACACACCGGATGAGCAGCAACATTACTAGTACGGCTTGCAAAAGTGAGTGAAATAAGGAGAGGCTCCGGGAAAAGAATACTGAATGGACCGACTGACAGATCGGGAGACCCGAGTGAAAAACCGCCTGAAACCTCTTGACCATTTTAATTATATGATATGGGGCGAAAAAGCGAACCGGGACCTGCTTCATGGTTGGTTTTGATCATCAAGGGGTTTTATTTTCGCGCGGTGACAAGACCCTACTCATTCCAGTCGGGGTTTGCTCTCCGAAAAATAAGATTACAGACGATAGTCCTAACTAACAAAATCACTGGGAGGCCGCTTTGCGTCAGGTGGGAAGTTCAGTGGCCTCTGCAAGATACCGGGGCCAATGAACGGCAACAGTAGCTCATGTAGGCCCACTCATTAATCCCTACTCCCTGCATGATTTCCTACGAAAACAATGGTTATAGGGTTTTATGGGTTTGGAATTAGGACACGCAGTTTAATATACTTTATTAAATGCTAAATGCATTTTTATTTTACTGTATTTAGAAGTGTGGTTGATTTATATCTGTAGATTTTCCTAATCTGCATTATCGTTTAACTTATTGCGGAAAAACCCGATTATCAAATGGCAGGTTTCTTGAATTTCCCGAAAAATTGAAATGGTGGTTAGGAGGCCGTCTACTTCAACTTACCTGAGGTCTAACTTACCGTTCTAGAGTTAGACTAGTATAGTCCGCGGCGCGAAGCACCTTAAATTTACATGCGGAACAACTTACTTCCAGCGGAAGAAACTTAGACTACATTTTTTCCACTTTACACTTACTTCTAAAAATTTCCTTCTCTGCCTATCTTATTTTCCCACCCCCAAAAACTCTATAACCACAGTTTTTGTAGGACAAAATTCGGGGGCTAGGGTTATATGAGTTGGCTTCACAAGCTTCTTTTGCCCAATGAACTAACAGCGCTTGACTGCGGGCGAAATGGAATCGGGAGATGTTCTCCCCAAACAACCTCATCCCAAGCAATCAAAAAATGCGAATAAATACAGCCAATTCTCATGAAGCCGTATTTGAATCCATACTCTAACTGTAGGCTGCTTGTTAACGGTCATCCTATAAAGTACACTTATTCATGAAGGACATCTACGTGCAAATCCCATTAAAGGACCACTTAAAAACGTAATTCTACATGTACCGATTCACTGGCTTTTTGCCTGGACACGCTGTCTGTACACTAAACATTTAAGTTTACTTAGTTGCAACGATTCTTGCGGTTTTCTGATTTGTCAACTTCTCTAAAAAAGATTGCATTTCGACACAAGATTATACTAATTTATGAATCAAAAAATGCCTTTTCTTTAGGAACAGCCATTTTTCTGCTGCTGCTGCTGCTGCGGCATCATGAGCTAATTTTGGGTAACAGGGATTATCTTTTAAAAATTCATGAGACTTCATGAGTTAGGAAATTTGCTGCATTTAGGAGAGAAGTAGGCAGTTAATCAAAGAGTA